ATAAGGTAATGCCTTTTAGATTGAAAAACGCAGGGGCAACATACTAAAGGCTTGTGAATAAGATGTTTGCCCAACTACTCGGGAAATCAATAGAGGTCTACGTCGATGGTATGCTTGTAAAGAGCACCAGGGCCACCCAACACATCAACCATTTGGGAGAAATGTTTGGTGTATTAAGGAGATACCGCATGAAGCTAAATCCCTTGAAATGCGCCTTTGGAGTTGGGTTAGGAAAATTCCTTGGTTTCATGGTCAGTAACCAGGGAATAGAGGCTAATCCAGAAAAGATAAAAGCTTTGTAGGATATGAGATCTCCAACTAAACCAAAGGAAGTACAAAGGTTGACGAGATGTGTTGCCACTCTAAACAGGTTTATATCCAAAGCAACGGATAAATGTGTCCCCTTCTTCGATGCTCTGAAAGGAAGCAAGCGTTTAGAATGGACGCCACAATGTGAGGAAGCCTTTCAAAGATTGAAGGAGCACCTAGGCAGGCCCCCAATCCTGTCGAAACCTATTCCCGACGAGGAATTGAGCCTCTACCCCTCCGTATCCAAGCATGCTGCGAGCTCTGTGCTAATCAGAGAGGAAGAAAGAGTCCAGCTGCCAGTTTACTATGTAAGTAAAAGACTCATCGGCGCCGAATCAAGATACACTGAGATGGAGCAATTAGCCCTCACCCTGATGGTGGCCTCAAGGATGCTTCAGCACTACTTCCAGTCCCACAACCCGTTAAGACAGGCACTGTAAAAGCCTGAGACTTCCGGTCGACTTCTTAAATGGTCGGTGGAGTTAAGCCAATTCGACATCAAGTATGTGCGAAGATCAGTAATCAAAGGGCAGGCGCTGGCAGATTTCCTGGCCGAATTCTCTCACAGGCCGACGCCAACCGCAAACGAAGAGACTAAGATGATGGAATGGAAACTCTACGTGGATGAAGCATCGAGTGAAAACGGGCCAAGAGCCGGCGTCATGTTGATTGGCCCGGAAGGCTACAAGATTACTTCGGCGGTGCGATTTAAATTCAAGGCGTCGAACAATGAAGCAGAATATGAGGCGTTGATTGCAGGATTACGATTAGCAAGTCACTTAAAGATCGAAAGGCTCTGCATCTTTAGTGACTCTCAACTAGTCGTCGGACAAGTAAAAGGAGAGTACCAAGCGCGCGGCAAGAGAATGGGTGCATACTTGAGAAAAGTAAAGGAAGAACTCATCAAGTTCAAAAGCTATAAGATACTACAAGTACCAAGAGATGAAAGCACCAACATCGACACTTTGGCAAGATTGGCATCTTCAAAGGATTTCGGCATACTAGGGGTCGTCCCCATTGAAGAACTCGAGCGGCCGACCATTGATGAAAAAGTTGAGACCTTGACCATCCAGATGGATGAGAGTTGGATGACGCCACTCATCCAATATCTGATGGATGCCAAGTTGTCAGATGATAAGGACGAGGCCAGATGGATCAGGTATAGAGCCGCCCGGTACCTACTATATGATGGTTTGCTCTACCGATGAGGCTACTCAACGCCTTTGCAGGGGTGCCTAACTGGCAATGAGGCCTAAGAGGTCCTCCGGGAGATCCATGAAGGAGTGTGTGGCAATCATACTGGGGGACAATCTCTAGCTCTCAAGGTTTTGAGGCAAGGGTACTATTGGCCTACGCTTAAAAAAGACGCGTTTCAATACGCTCGGCGTTGCAATAAGTGCTAAAAATATGCCACAACTCGTAGACCACGCCCAGAAATCCTAACCTCTATTCTTAGCCCATGGCCCTTTGCCAAATGGGGGATCGACCTGATCGGACCCTTGCATCTTGCGCCAGGCAGCTTCAAGTTTGCCATCGTTATAGTAGACTACTACACTAAATAGGCAGAGGCAAAGGCTTTTACTACAACAACAGAGGCAGCTTGCACCAACTTTATGTGGAACAACATTGTGTGCAGGTTTGGGGTCCCATGCTCAACTGTGTCTGACAATGGGAGACAATTCGATAACGTCTCAACACGCAGGTTCTGCGATGACTTGGGCATTCGAAAGGACTTCTCAACACCAATATACCCACAGTTCAATGGTCAGGTCGAAGTTTAAAGTATACCCTAAAGAAAATGCTCAACGATTTGAAGGGGAAGTGGGCCGAAGAACTTCCAAAAGTCTTATGGGCATACAGGACAACGAGCCGAACCACCACGGGTGAAACACCCTTCTCCATGACATATGGTGCCGAAGCAGTACTCCCCGTGGAAATTGAGACGCCGACGCTAAGAACTGTTGTCTATAACAGCGACGCTAATGCAGAAGCAATGAATGGAGAACTCAACCTATTGGAAGAAAAAAGGCTCGACTCCCAACTACGGCTCGCCGCCTATCAACAAAGGGTAGCACGATATTACAACAAGAAAGTTAGGCGAAGAAGGTTCATCCAAGGGGACTTAGTATTAAAAAGGGTGACGCAGAGTACAAAACCTAAAACTATTGGTCCTCTAGGCCCAACTTGGGAAGGACCCTACCGCGTAAGAGAAGTGCTACGCCCTGGCACCAACGTTCTGGAAAGCCTCACCGGCAAGAAAATTCAACACTCGTGGAATGCGGAACAACTAAAGCTATACTACCAATAGTGTATGCAATTCTTACGCATCTCAATTGTATTTTTAACAATTTAAATAAATTGATTTGTTTATAAAAATATTGCTCATATACAAGGAAAGAATTTACCTCTTAATAACACGTCTGCTTAAAAAACCAAGGTATATTAAACAGACATGGGGGGCAGTAAGGGGTCTACGGATCACTGTAAAATGAAGACCCCAAGGGGTCAAATTAGACGTCGACTCTTCCAAGGAGGAGAGACGAACATTTAGCAAATTCTATGGAATTTGCTAAGGCAACGACCCCAAGGGGTGAGATTAGATGTTGACTCCTCCAAGGAGAAGAGACGAACCCTTAGCGAATTCTAAGAAATTTGCTAAGACAACGACCCCAAGGGGCGAGACTAGACGTCGACTCCTCCAAGGAGGAGAGACGAACCCTTAGCGAATTCTACGGAATTTGCTAAGGCAACGACCCCAAGGGATGAGATTAGACGTCGACTCCTCCAAGGAGGAGAGACGAACACTTAGCGAATTCTAAGGAATTTGCTAAGGCAACCACCCCAAGGGGTGAGATTAGACGTCGACTCCTCCAAGGAGGAGAGACGAACACTTAGCAAATTTTAAGGAATTTGCTAAGGCGACTACCCCAAGGGGTAACATAAAATTAAATGTTGTCTCCTTTAAGGAGGAAAGGAAAACACAAGAAAATAATTAGGGTGACGAATCTTGAAAAATAAATTCAGCAAAATATTATAAAAATATATAGCGGTCTTTACAAATAAGAATTAACAACAACAAAAAAACTAAGGGCCCTAGGCCTCGCCGCCAGTCGCCGAATCATCACCATCCCCAGGGTACGAAGAGCCGTCGTCATCTGCAGGTGGAGCAACATAGAGAAAGCTCAAGTCCCACTCTGGATGCTTTTGTTTGATCAAATCGACTATTTTCACCCCAGCAGACTGAAAGTCCTTGGTGCGAATGTTGATGAGCTCCATGGAGGCCTTGAACTCCTTAATAATCTCCTCGTGCTTGGCGACGAGCGCCTCCGAGGCCTCGGCTTCTGCCTTTTTCCTCCCCTCAGCCTTCCCCTCAACAAAGCATCTCTTTACGGCCTCGGCAACCTCAGCCTCGTTCTTCTCAGCTGCTTCAGCCGTACTGTTCTCGACTGTCTCCGCCCGCCTAGTAAGCTCTTCAACCGCAGCCTTCAAACTCGCCAGCTCATTCTGAAGATTGGACAGCTTGGCCAGTTCGCTTTCCAAACTCGCCAGTTTGGCCCCGGCCACATCCCTCTCCTCGATGGCAGACGAGCATTTAGTTTTGGGCTCGTCGAGAATAAATGTAAGTTTGGCTTCCAGGCTGTCCATTTCTTTGCCATGTTCCTCGACCTTGACTAGATCAATGAGGTTGAGGATGGCAAGAACTAGGCCCTGAGAGAAATTGAATGTCAGAAAATGATGTCACAAAAGACGAGTAAAAAAAAAAACCTAAACGGTCGAGGCTTACATGAATCTGGGAGGATATCTACTTGCATTGACGGTCCACCAGAGAAGAACGAGAGACATAGATGCAGTGCTTATCGAAGAATGACTCGTACAAAGCCTGGAAGACGAGAGAAAAGCGGGGAGGAAGATTCAGCATCGCCCCAATCTTGGCGTCAGAAATGTCCGGGACTTGTTTGTTTTTTATGATTTCTGTTCACATAAGTTTTTATTATGTTGTTAATAAATGTTAGTAATGTATAGTCCTTAGAAGAATCCTGCTTCATTGTTAATCAATATTGTTAAGATATTGATTTCCTGTTTATTGGTTTCTCATGTATGTATGTATTTTATGTATTTTATTGTTGTGAATGTATATTTTTTAATTGGATTTTGATTTCCTGTATTCTTTTTGCCTAAAATTTCTTGATTATACTTTTTATGTTCTTCCTGCTTCTTCTCATGATATTGACTTTCTCGTGATTTATTTTTGGTACTATATATAAAATAAAATAAAATAAAAAATAAATAATACCTATCTTATTGCAGTTTATTCATGGTCTTAAGTTATATTGTATATTTTGTTCTTTAGTTTTCATTCCCTTTGATTAAGAGTTATCGGCTTTGCTCTTTTCCTTTATTTCTTGAGCATTAAACCGCCACTGCTAGGAACATCTAGATGCACACCTGGAGGACAAACCTATCAATTTCCACATAGTTGCGTGAGTTATTTGCTATAAAAAGATACATAAGTAATCGATAGATTGTTACAATTACTTTTTTGATCAGCCATTATACAACTGTTTTTATGACTCTTTAGTCATTATAGTTTAGTCATTAATGTAAGCTACCAAAAAAAAAGAGCAAAAACGACAAAATATGTTAGCAAAAACGATAAAATATGTTAGCAAAAACGAAGAGTAGATTGAGACCTCCATGAATGTTTACTGAAACGACCAGGGAATAAAACGAAAAAGAACAAACTAGAATAAGAAAGAAGAAAAAGTGTCGAAACAATGCTTCAAGCACTTGGAAATTTATAGAAGCATGCCAAAGTTTACTTTTCATGAACCTATAAATTTGACTACTTTTCTATTGACAACGATAAATTGACTATTGACTACGATATATTGACTATTGACTAATATATATTGATGATTTTTCTCTTGAATATATTCCCCTCTCTCTCTCTCTCTGTATATATATATCTTTCTAATTTTATCCCAATTCCCCCGTAGAGCAGAAATTAAAATTGTTCAACGTACGTATCCTATTTACGTCATTTTAGATACGGTAAAAGTGAGTAAACAATATCGGATTAATACAGGACGACAGTGATTCACAATCTTTCAAATAAAATTAACGCAACCTCTACAACGGAATTCCATAAAAACCACTTGTAGAACTTTCAGTTTTAAAAGTTAAAGTTAATTTTTCAATTGTTAAATCTGTACAAGTCCGTATTAAAATTTACAACATGCTAGATAGATGTCCAACAAGAGTTGTCGAACCACTCAGAGAAAAGACTACAGTTCCTGATCAGACTCCTAAGGCACCTCGTCGTAGTGGGAGGGTAAGCATGTTACCCGACCGGTATACCGGGGAAGCCCAAATCATCACTGCTGATGACGGTAAGGAGGATCCATCGACCTTTAAGGATGCGATGGATGATTATGATAAGGAAGAATGGCAAGCAACTATGAAACTCGAGATGGAGTCTATACACTCTAACTCAGTCTGGCAACTTGTAGATCTACCCGAAGGGGTAAAACCCATTGGATGCAAGTGGATCTTTAAGAGAAAAAGATGAGCGGATAGAAAAGTAGAGACCTATAAAGCAAGGCTAGTGGCTAAGGGTTATACCCAAAAGGAGGGAGTTGACTATGAGGAAACTTTCTCGCCAGTAGCTATGCTTAAGTCCATCCGGATACTCCTGGCCATTGCAGCATATTTTGACTATGAGATATGGCAGATGGATGTCAAGACAGCTTTTTTGAATGGCTATATTGAGGAAACCATCTATATGAATCAACCAGAGAGTTACATAGAGGAAGGCTAAAAGCAGAAAGTCTGCAAACTGCAGAGGTCCATTTATGGACTGAAGCAGGCTTCTAGATCATGGAACATCAGGTTTGATGAGGCTATAAAGTCTTATGAATTTTATCAAAACATTGATGAACCATGCGTCTACAAGTACAAGAAAGAAGAGAAAGTGGTCTTCTTAATTCTTTACGTCGATGACATCCTACTCATTGGGAATGATGTGAGATTAATGACATATGTAAAGGAGTGGTTAGCCAACCAATTCCAAATGAAAGATTTGGGAGAGACAAGCTATGTTCTTGGGGTTAAGATTATTCGAGATCGCAAGAAAAAGCTTTTGGCATTATCACAGGCATCTTATATAGACAAAGTGTTGTCTAGGTATTCGATGTAGAACTCCAAGAAAGGGAATTTGCCTTCTAGGCATGGTATTCATCTTTCTAAGGAGCAATGTCCAAAGACTCCACAATAGGAACAAGATATGAGACGGTATCCCTTTGCTTCGGCCGTGGGAAGCCTTATGTATGCCATGTTGTGTACAAGACCAGATATCTGCTATGCAGTGGGAATGGTCAGTCGCTACCCGTCCAACCCAGGATTAGATCATTGGGTTGCAGTAAAGTGTATTCTCAAGTATCTTAGAAGAACGAGAAACTATATGTTGGTATATTTCGGAGAAGATCTGTCTCTCACCGGATACACGGATGTTGTCTCCTCTAAGGAGGAGAGGTAAACACAAGAAAATAATTAGGGTGACGAATCTTGAAAAATAAATTCAGCAAAATATTATAAAAATATATAGTGGTCTTTACAAATAAGAATTAACAACAACAAAAAAACTAAGGGCCCTAGGCCTCGCCGCCAGCTACCGAATCATCACCATCCCTAGGCTACGAAGAGCCGTCGTCATCTGCAGGTGGAGCAACATAGAGAAAGCTCAAGTCCCACTCTGGATGCTCTTGTTTGATCAAATCGACTATTTGCTCCCCAGCAGACTGAAAGTCCTTGGTGCGAATGTTGATGAGCTCCATGGAGGCCTTGAACTCCTTAATAATCTCCTCGTGCTTGGCGACGAGCGTCTCCGAGGCCTCGGCTTCTGCCTCTTTCCTCCCCTCAGCCTTCCCCTCAGCAAAGCATCTCTTTACGGCCTCGGCAACCTCAGCCTCGTTCTTCTCAGCTGCTTCAACCGTACTCTTCTCGACTGTCTCCGCCCGCCTAGTAAGCTCTTCAACCGCAGCCTTCAAACTGGCTAGCTCGTTCTGAAGATTGGACAGCTTGGCCAGTTCGCTTTCCAAACTCGCCAGTTTGGCCCCGGCCACATCCCTCTCCTCGACGGCAGACGAGCATTTAGTTTTGGCCGTGTCGAGAATAAATGTAAGTTTGGCTTCCAGGCTGTCCATTTCTTTGCCACGTTCCTCGACCTTGACCAGATCGATGAGGTTGAGGATGGCAAGAACTAGGCCCAGAGAGAAATTGAAAGTCAGAAAATGATGTCACAAAAGACGAGTCAAAAAAAAAAAACCTATACGGTCGAGGCTTACATGAATCTGAAAGGATATCTACTTGCGCTGACGGTCCACCAGAGAAGAACGAGAGACAGAGATGCAGTGCTTATCGAAGAATGACTAATACAAAACCTGGAAGACGAGAGAAAAACGGGGAAGAAGATTCAGTATCGCCCCAATCTTGGCGTCAGAAATATCCGAGACTTGTTTGTTTTTTATGATTTCTGTTCACATAAGTTTTTATTATGTTGTTAATAAATGTTAGTAATGTATAGTCCTTAGAAGAATCCCGCTTCATTGTTAATCAATATTGTTAAGATATTTATTTCCTGTTTATTGGTTTCTCATGTATGTATGTATTTTATGTATTTTATTGTTGTGAATGTATCTTTTTTAATTGGATTTTGATTTCCTGTATTCTTTTTGCCTAAAATTTCTTGATTATACTTTTTATGTTCTTCTTGCTTCTTCTCATGATATTGACTTTCTCGTGATTTATTTTTGGTACTATATATATATATATATATATATATCTATCTGTGTGTGTGTTTTTATTTAACTTATTTTTGCTTTAACTGATTTTTTAATGTGGCGATGATAGTTATTATTAAAGTTTACATGTTGAGTTTTATGTAAATTGTTAAAAAATTGCTGTGATTATTTTTCCTTCTTTGATCCTGATTTTGTTCATTTCTTTTTTTAATATATCTTCTGTTTTTGTTCTTTATTTTGGTACTATTCAGTCTTTGATATTACTATTTCATTGAAAACTTATTCAATCATTTATCTTTCTTACTTGGATTCTGATTTTTGACTAAAAGTTTTTGCCTGTCTTTTTTATAGTTCTTTCCGGCTACAAAAAATAAAAAATAAAAAAAATAAAAATAAAACCTATCTTATTGCAGTTTATTCATGGTCTTAAGTTATATTGTATATTTTGTTCTTTAGTTTTCGTTCCCTTTGATTAAGAGTTATCGGCTTTGCCCTTTTCCTTTCTTTCTTGAGCATTAAACCGCCACTGCTAGGAACATCTAGATGCACATCTGGAGGACAAACCTGTCAATTTCCACATTGTTGCGTGAGTTATTCGCTATAAAAAGATACAGAAGTAATCGACAGATTGTTACAATTACTTTTTTGATCAGCCATTATACAACGGTTTTCATGACTCTTTAGTCATTAATGTAAGCTACCAAGAAAAAAGAGCAAAAACGACAAAATATGTTAAAATATGTTAGCAAAAACGAAGAGTAGATTGAGACCTCCATGAATGTTTACTGAAACGACCAGGGAATAAAACGAAAAAGAACAAACTAGAATAAGAAACAATGCTACAAGCACTTGGAAATTTATAGAAGCATGCCAAAGTTTACTTGTCATGAACCTATAAATTTGACTACTTTTCTATTGACAACGATAAATTGACTATTGACTATTGACTACGATATATTGACTATTGACTAATATATATTGATGATTTTTCTCTTGAATATATTCCTCTCTCTCTCTCTCTCTCTCTATATATATATATATATATCTTTCTAATTTTATCCCAATTCCCCCATAGAGCCAAAATTAAAATTGTTCAAGGTACGTATCCTATTTACGTCATTTTACATACGGTAAAAGTGAGTAAACGATATCGGATTAATACACGATGACAGTGATTCACAATCTTTCAAATATAATTAACGCAACCTCTACAACGGAATTCCATAAAAAAAACCCACTTGTAGAACTTTCAGTTTTAAAAGTTAGAGTTAATTTTTCAATTGTTAAATCTGTACAAATCCGTATTAAAATTTACAACATGCTATATTGATGTCCATACTGTAAATTTGGCCATTAAAAAATTAGTCCAATAGTAAAAAAGCAATGCTCCATTGGAGGGGGTTTTTTTTTAAACCCCTTTTTTTAAATTTTTGATCGCCGTTTCTCTTCCCTTTTTTTGTCTGTGCTCGATTTGTTTAAATTTTTTAAAATGTTATTTTTGGGTCTGGATTTTTCGTTTCGTTTTTGCTGTGTTTTTCCCTAAAATGAACATGTTGTGTTTGATGTTTTCCCATTTTATTGTTTCGTTTTAATTCTTTATCGGTGTTCTTTTTTAAAGTTCTTTTTGCAATTTTTCTCATTGGGTAATAGCTAGGGTTTTCCCAAAAAAATTTGCAAACGCTTTATTCTCTTTTCCTACTTATTGATTTTTCCAGAAAGTGCTTCTTATGTAGATTGTTCGATTATTAATTTCTCTTGAATTTCATGCAGTCAGCAGATAAATATGGATTTTTTTCCTGCATTTAATGAGTTGATGATCTGTGATATATAGACCAGTGATTTGTCTTCCTAGCCTGATCATTTGTATTGTGTTTACTCCAAATGTGTTAATTTAATTAGTGTTTTTTTTTTAAATTATCTGAAATATGGAAAAAATTTAGGAAGAAAAAT